GAACTGGGGGCGCCGGCCGCTTCTAGCCCACGCGCCGGGAACAGCCTGCTGGCCCCGCGCGCCTCGCCCAGCGCTGCGCGCTCTGCAGACTCTTGTCCTCTCGCGTCTTTCTTCTCCTCCCCTTCCTCTCACCTTCTCCTTTGCTTTTATTACTTTTGCCCGTTGCCGTACCTTCCTCATCTCTCCATCTCTCTCCCTCCTTTCCACTTATTCTCTTAACACCTTCCTCTTATTCCCGCCGTAGACCTCCCTTTCTGTCCTCACCACCTTCTTCTAGTCTCTTCTCTCCCCACTGTAGCAGCAGCCTTCCCCTGGTCTGTCGATTACATTGTGTCCCTGTGCCTCAGTGTCCCCCTCATCTCACTGTCTCTGACTCCCCTCCCGGCTCAGAGCCTAGTGGCCTGTCCTTGGGGGAAAGAAGGATGGTTCTCGAGGGAAGGGTCCTCTCCTCCTTGCTGGGACTCGCGCTGCTCTGGTTCCCCTTGGACTCCCACGCTCGAGTTCGTAAGTAGATGGCGGGGGGCGGGGGCCGCTGGGAGGGCAGAAGAGGGGTTCAGGCCCCTGGAATTGTCGGGAAAGTGGCAGGACTTGGGACCCCCAAGGTGTTCCGACTGCAGTCCAGGCAGCACCTGTGCCGAAAAGGGTGGAGCTCCTCTGCCGACTAGTATGGGCTGATGACTAGGAGACTGGGTGGAACTTGGCAAGACTCAGAGCCAAGGGTACTGCTGCCAAGGACCTGAGAATAGAAGACTGAGGGCATCGGGAAAGAGGGCAGATCACTGCTTTGGGGGTGCGGGGGTGTTTTTTTTTCCTAGTAGAGAGTCCCATGTGTTTGGGTGCAGGGCCGTGATGAAAAGGCTACTGCTATTAAAGAGAACCAGTGGAAAGAGAGAGCTGACTAGGACAACGGTCCTAATCCCTTCTCTCTCTTGATCCTCACTCCGAAGAGGTGGGTATCATTTGCATTTTATAGATGAGAAAACTTAGGCTGAAAGAAACTTGCTCACATTTACAGAGCTAGTAAACCATCCAAAGCTAGTGTTCTCCAATTCCAAATCCTATGCTTTTTTCCTCTGCCCCACAGGGTCTGGGAGGAACCCTGATTTAGAGTTGTGAGACCCTGGAAGGCAGCAGGGCACAGTGAGAGAGCTCAATATTCATTATCCCAGGTCTATTGAATACCAGTTGGTGGGAGGCAGGCATGGAGGGTACCTCTCTGAGCCTCAGTTTCCTAATCTATTACATAGGAGTAAAAATTCCAGGACTTTTGTGAGAATCGAATTAGAGAAAACATGTAAAGCAACTAGCATCAGCATCTAGCTGGTACATGGTAGGTTCTTTAAAAATATTAGTTTCCTAATTCATGCTTTTCCACTTGGATACAGTGTAACTTTACACAGTTTATATAATCTCTCTAAACCTCAGTCTCCTCCCTAACCCCCAAATAGGCTGATGGACCCCATCCCCATTCCCTGCCTATCTCTTAGAATGCTGTGAGAATGGATAACACAACTAAAGATTCTCTTAATAAGAAGGAAGGCGCTTGGTTCAAACCCTGAATATCCAATAACCGGAGGCCCAGGAGGGGCAGTGGTTTTGCTCTAGGTTACACTGGGAAGAGCCTGGGATGAAGATCTCATTTTTCCGCCTCTCAGCCTAATGCTATTTCCTCCCTACAGCTCAGCTCCCCGATATCTGCCTTTCTTTTGCATGTGACTTTCCGAGCCCATGGGGCTGGATTTTGTTTCATTCTTGTCTCTCCTGGCGAAGGCAGGCTTCATGTCTGGTCCTTCCTGGGCCGCCAGCAGCATGAGACTTAGTAACAAGTAATGGGAAGAGCTCAGTGTTGGGTTCAAGTTCTGGCTTTGCTCCTTTTCATAAGTTACAACTTCTCTGTGCCTTAATGTTGTCATCTGTCTCAGACATATTCACCTGGAATCCAAAGGATTCTTGAGAGGATGAAAGGAGGTGACTGTTAAAGTGCTCAGTACAGTACAATGCCTAGTACTCAGTAAATGTTTCCTCCCCCTCCTTGAGCCCTAGAGGTTTCCTCTTAACACTTACCTGTTGCTTCTTAAAAGGGATTTAGCACAGGATGCCCTCCATGCCTGCCTCTCTCCTACTTGGCACATTGTTCTCAGTTTCAGGGTTTTTCTCCAGATACCATTGCCTTTAATGCATCTTGGAAAGATGCCCTAGAATCAGATCATTATGCAAGACTGCTCATGTCCTACCCATACCCCTCTTTGCCTCTCATATCTCGTCAGCCCTTCACCTTGCTTAGATACACCTTTCAGCAAACTTTTCCCTGGCTACCAGATCCACTCTGATCTTCTTCTATGCCTCCACTGGCCTTCAGGTCCATACTTCTCACTGGGTCCTGCCAGTATTCAGTCTCCCCTACAGCCTGGAGCTTAACTCAAGACACATAATAACTCAGAGCAGACTTATTAAGTTAAGTTGAGGTGGACTGGCATTCAGAGGGTTGTGTTAAAATTCTGGGATGTCAGAGCTGGAAAAGCCTTTGAAAATCACCTGCTTCTACCCCTCGATTTTCCTATCCTTATAGTTAAACTAAGCACGGAAAGGGTGAATGACTTGCCCAAGGTCACACAGCAAATTTATTAAAGAAAAGAATAGAGACCTGGCTTGTAGTTTCTGATTTGTCACTTACTGGTTGTATGAATTGGGACAAATCACTTCCCTTCTCTGAGCTTCATTTTGTCTGTTGATGACAATGTATAAATACTATAGTTATTTGCCAGGGTCCTATTTGAAGGTCTCTTATGAAGGTCCTTGTCTTAGTTTAAGTAAGATCCTGGGCCTGTTGTGGGTAAGAAATCTCCTGGTGGCATCTTAGGTGCTTTTAGGAGTGGTGCTGACAGATGGAAATTCTCAAGTCTGTGTGGTGTCAGACTCTTGAGGTGGCTTAGCCTAGCAAATGCCAAGGGCCTGTGAGCACGCATGGCAGCTTGCTCCTCGGTTAAATTACAAGGCTATTCAAACAAAGATTATTCTATCTTTGGCTCTGTTTCCAGACACAGATTGAGCCGTGATCCCAACCCAGACTGAGCCTCAACTCCAGCCAGATGCTGAGCCCTGATCCTCAAATCCTAACCACAGATTGAACCCCAATTCCGAGTCCCTGACTTGGTCTCTGAACAGTACTGATTCCAGCCCCAGGCAGAGTCATATGCATGCATAATGTTGATCACTCATCCCTCTATGGAAGGAGAATCTGCCTAGTATCCTGACTTCCTCTCCAGAACTGTATGCCCTTATCAGCTCCTCTCCTTTGTACCCTACCCTTACTAATTGTCTCCCCCTACAAGGTATCCAGCATGCTTCTACTTTCTCTCCCCTCCTTCCATCCAATCCCACTTTCAGGAGAGTCAAATTATCAAGTAAAAACATTGATCTCTCTATTCTATCTTTGAGGGACTCGAAGCTTCTGTTCCCCAGTGACAGAATCCCAGACCCCAGAAGCAGAGATGGGGCGGGAAGGGAGCTCCCATGGTATAATGTGTTGCAAAAGACAAACTTGGAATCAGAAGGTCAGAGCTCCAGCTCCTGGCTTGGCCACCAATCCCAACTGTGGCACAGGGCAAGTTGCCTTTCTCCCCGCCTCTCAGTTTTCCTGGCTGTGAAGTGAGATGGTTGGACATAAATAGATAATCACTGAGGACGATTCTAGCTTTAACATCTCGTGATTCTAGGACTTTAAGATCCAAAGATGCTAGTGTCTTTATTCTGAGTCTACTCAGACCTTCAGAAAAGGGAGTTGGGCAAGTGTGGGTGTGCAGCATGACACTCCTTCCTTTGCCCCAGAGAGGAGTAGACAGACAGACTCTTAAGAGAAAGAACCTAGAGAGCCTCGGACAGTGGGTGTAGAGGGAGACTCACCAGTGGGGACCCTGCCCTGCTGTTCAGTTTAGTCGCATCCCCATCCACCTGTCCAGATGTACATGAGGGGGTGGCAGGCACCTGAGGAAAGGCGGGACATCTGTCTCCAGGCAGGCCCCTTTCTGAGCCTATCTGGGAGGTTCTGCACCTCCTCTCTCCCACCAGTAGAGGTCTCTGTCTCACTCACTCACTTGCAAACTGCTGAGCAGGAGCTGGGCAACAGCTGCGCCCGTTGCTCCAGCTGTTGCACCTGTTCCAGGACTGGCCTCTCAAGTTCCCCCAGCCACTGGCCACGGCGCCGGGCTCTGGGAGAGGGACCTTGAGTCTCTTGGACTCCCAAATAAAAGGACTGGGGTGAGAGTGGTGCCGCCTGGAGGTGCAATTGGAAAGATCATTTCAGGCCTGCCTCTGCCTCTGGGCAGAAGCCCATCCCAGGGAAGACCGTTCCACAGTAGTCTTCTGTTACCCATTCTGTAATCAGATTCTTCTTTATGTCTTACCTGGATCCTTTTGTTTGCCATTTAAAGCCATTTCTTTCTATCCTGTCTCTTAGAGAATGGGTATTTCTATAAGCACCCCCTTCAGATCTGAAGACTGACATTGGAGTTTGTGCTGACATAAATCCATGATCTTAGGCAAGTCCCAATCCCTTTCGAGGACTTGGTTTTCACATCTGTAAAATAGAGGATTGGATGTCATCTCTAAGTCCCTAGTTTCCCTAAGATTCTGTGAATCTAAAGTGTATATGTTCAAGGCAGAATAGAATATAAACAGTCTCAACTCTGCCCCCGGATTCTTGTTGGGTATCAGAGCTTCCTTTCCTGATTTGATGGTTCTCTCCTTTGAGGTCATTCAAGGCTCCTGAACATCTGTCACATGCCAGATTAGAGGAGTCGGCGTCAGAGAAGTGAAGACCTTTTCCCTAGGTTGCACAGCTCAGCCCCGGAGGAGCTGAGGTTTTCACTTCTGATTCCCTTAGGAGGCCTCCCACATTGGGTACCAGAGCAGAGCTTATGTCTTAGAGGGGAGTGAGTTTGTTTTGGAGAAAAGAGGACTATAAATAAATAGAGAAAATATGGCTGTGTGGGCGCAAGGGAAAAGATGTAAACGTTCTCACATTTCTGTGCAGCCTGGCTCACTCTGATCTCCTGAGCCCTTGCAGGCTGTGGACAGGCCAGCCACAGTTCCAGGCCTCTCTTCTCACACCCCAGTTCCTCTCGGTCCCCTCCAGCCTCTCCTGTAGCCCAGAAGCTTCTTTCTGGTTGAATTTTCTGCTTCCTATTGGAAGAATTCCCAACTACACTACCCACTCCTAACTACCCCTTAGAAGACATTTGTTATAGCATGAGAGTTTCAAGGCAGAGTGTGGGATGACCTTAGATGGAACAGTTTGGAAATTTTAACTTACATATGAAGATCATGGAATCCCTCATCCCCTTACCTGCCCAGGTTCCTGACCTTTTTGTACATGGTGTTTGGTTTGGTAGGTGATTGGGGGTTCACATAGCAAGAGCTGGAAAGAGGCTAATTCCTGTTAGGTGGTAAGATCAAAGTGATGCTGAGAGGAATTTGGCTCTCCTATCACATAATGAAGTTCTCTT